CAAACGATTTCGCCCCGTCTGTTGCCGCAATTTCCGCCTCAGAACCCGGATGAAGGGCGGATGGATGACTAAATAAGGCCAGATGATGTTGCAAACATGAATAGCTGATCAACGGGAGGACCAGTACACTTCGGTGTCGTGTCTTGATACGCAACTGGACGGTGGATGTCGATGTCAGACCGTTTGCATTGTTTTGTGTCACTGATGTGGCACCCTTTTGGTTTCCTTTCGATTTCCCTGGACCAGTGTTCTGAGCAGACTCTGTGGGACGTTTCGCACGACCCGGTGGATCACACAAAGTAGCCGGATACCAACTCTCGACTTTGGTCGCGCCACTCAGTTTTGCGGCCGGAATTGAAACCAAAGCAATCAGCTATGCCTCCAAAAAATGTTTGTGTTGTTTTAATTTTCCAAGTCGTGCTGCTCTCCGTCGCACCGGGGCACTTTTACTGGGTCCGGATGGTCGAGGACTGGGAGTCACATTGCCCGAGCGTTCCCTTGAGACGTGACCTGTGCTCGTGTTATTGTGATCCGTGGTTGAATAATCTCCGTCCGGATCTTGGCCCGTACGACTACCATTCCCGGCACTACTATCATCCAGACCGAGAAGTTCGGCAGAACCGCGTGCACATGACATCATCATCGCGGTGGTTGTTGCTTTCCGGGTTTGGCACGGAATTTGGATCAGATTGACGGATTGATTAGTGTGATGTGTGTGATGGCCGCACGTGAGGGGATGAAGCGGAAGTTGCCGTGCGTGGAATTACCGGGGATGTTTTGTGTGAACGACGGGAATTTGTGCAGTCCGTGATTGGTCGATTGGAATTTTGCCAAAGCTGAACGCAAAGGTTTTCGAATTCCGGGGGACCACTCAATTTGAACTCTTCACTCCAAAATAACATATCCGTCAGCTGTTTACTGGTTGTTCTAGCATATGTCACTCCGTCATGCTGAATCTCACAGTGATACCTGCGCTTGTCCGTCATTCCTTTAGCCTCTTGAATCCAAATGTGCAAGCATTTCTCTCGTCTGCGTTCTGATTCCAAACTGGGATGAACCAAACGCCGCAAGCCGAACAACGGAGCTGCAAATGGTAGATGAAATCGATAATCCAATATAGGTTCCACCGCTCTATCCACAGTTGACGAATCGGGAGAGGCATTTTCATTCACGGTTGTACACCATCTTCTGATCCGGAACTACCATAGTCATAATAATCATCCGACCTGCACTGGGTACATGTTAACACGGCCAACAGCATGGAGTTGCTGACTCGGCGCTCACTCACAGGCTCGTCCGGACTGATACAGCCGAAACACATTTTCATCAAGCCTTACCGAAAGATGTAACTCCAACGCAGCTGATAAACACAATAAACACGTTACTTTGGAAAACGACGAAGACCATCATGGTTGGTGATTTTAACTTGCACGAAATGGATTGGGAAAAGGGTGACGCAGGAGATAGTCCCTCTAAAGAGGAGCCCCAAGGTTGTTCCACGAACAGGCACTTTACTAATATGTGCCATAACCAACTTAATTCAGATATAGACAGAAATCTTTAGATCTAATTCTCACCCAAGCGGAGAACGACGTTAGTGAAATAACTATGAAATTCACTCTCGGCAACAGCGATTGTAGTGTGATCACCTTTAGGACGTGCATAAATCAGGAAAATCCCCCTTCGAAATTCATCAGGAACTTCGTTCGAATGAATATGTCCGGCCTACTTTAAGATTTTGGTTCGACCATTTGGATTTTGCCTATTCAGGATCCATCTGTCGAGGAGGAATGGGGCATACTTTGGGAACACCTAGTGATGCTCACTGACAGGGACGCGCCATTGCAACCGGAGAGGAATTCTCATAGTCCTTCGTGGTGGACAACTCCCATAAAGAGAGCAGAAATCTTCAGGGGCCTAAATGGAGGAATTATGCAAACTCTGGAAGGCAGCACAAGTGACTGCCCTACAAAATGGCCCGGAATAAAGCAAAAAAGGTTATAAAACATACTTAAATGAAATATTAGTTGAGGATCACTCAGCAAGCTAAAACCAATCACAAAAGGTTTTACGAGTACATGTAATCGAAGGCTGTCCTAAGGTAGTTGGTTGAGGTCCTACGAAACCACGCACGGGATGAAGTGTGGTTGAAGGCAGAGAAGTGCGAGATACTCCAAACGTTTTTAAAGCGTTTGTAAAAATGGATTATGGAAGCAGATACCCTTACACTTGCAACGGGTATGAGCTTCTTCAATGAGTGATCTATAGGTAGACAGAGCCCAAGTTCTGAATAAACTCAGTGAGTTAAAATCTGGCAAATCAGTGGAAGTGACAGATTTATAACAGCAACAATGGTATATTTCACGACGAAAGACGTGAGGCACGCTGGGGTACACGATCATTTTGTACAATGAATGGTAGAACATTTTGGTCACTCTGCGAGGAAATGGACTAAGCCTGAAAAGCCGAGGGCACTAAACAGTGTCCGGGCGACTATTTTCGCTTAAAGGGTTATAAGCGTTTGAGATAAGTTACCGGCAGCGGCTGTTTCAGTCGCCTCAGTTGAGGAGTTTAAGGGCCATCTAGATGCAGTTTAGACGGAACTGTTTCCAAAAGCCGCATAAATGGCCCAACAGGACGAATGATGCATGCATGCTCGTGCGTATTAACTGGTGTCTACTGAAAAAGACCTGAATGTCCCTGGTGGATGGACAGTAGACTCCTCGGTTGTGTGGCAACCACAAAACCACTAACATACGGGATAAGTGGGCAACGGGCTCAGGCGGACACGAGCTCAAGGTCAGTACTTGAGTGCAGATAGACTAGAGAACTGAAAGTATGACTTCATGGAGGATAAAATAGGTTGTTTACACGTTTTCACCATTTTTATTTTATAATAATAATAACAGGAGTATATTTCACGAGCCCGTGAGACATGCACAAGGTATGATCAAATGTTCAGAGCGATCATACGTACAATAACAGTGCAAGTACATAGGTAGACAATAAAAAACATAAATGGTGAGGATAAGAACAAAAACACAGGGTGAAAGGAACACAAACCGGACAAGGTCACCGACGAATTTATGGAAGATGGAGGATGCATTGAAAATGCATGTCACTAGAACTGGAAGTAATGGTAAAACTGGTCTCGGAAGGATTGGCCGTACGGCAACAGTTCGGGGAAATATGGAGAGGCGATCTGTGGAACGAATGCTGCCTGGTGATGGAGGCATGAGGACAGCAATAGAAAGGAAGGAATACAGCAGAATAATACGTCGGTCAGGAACATGTTTCACTCGATGCTGCAAAACAACTCGCTTCTGGAGACAAGTTCATTGAGTTCGGGACTTCAATCGATCAAGCAGTGATTTGGATTATTTAGATTGATTAGGCGTTGGTCGCTTTGATGTGGGACTGACTACACGTTAGACATCTAACCTTAAAACACCATGTAGGTGAGGCAGGGGGTGTGATCCTCAACCTGGTCCGGAACGCGGACGCGTGTAGTCAAAACGGCGGAAACGGCCGTGCCCAACAACCATTGCTGGAGCCACATTGACCATTGCGGGTGAGGACCCCAAGCCTTCGTCAGGCCCAAACGAAACGAATCTGGAACAAAGAGGCAATATGCAGCAGTCTGGGGTAGTACGCAGCTGACGAGGGAAGGAAGAAGGGGAAACGAGGCATGCGACAGAACAAAACTTATATTAAGTGCACAACTAGCACCTCTGACTTAAATGATGGGGTTCCGGATGGAATATAGCTTCAAACCATAACCATGAGTTGCAGCGCGGAGGGAGGATAGAATGCTTCTGAGAATGCACACCAGAGTTTTGAATTTCACAGATCCGGCTGTGAAACTGAATCCATGTACTCTTAAGAATTGGTTTCGAAAGTGGACACATCTATCAGGATAGCATATACGACGGAGGGAGGCCGGATGAATTGCATGCTAGGTATTAGGTCACAATACATGTACGAAGGAAATTTTAGTAGCACCGACACCATTTGAGTGGGAGTGCTCAAACGGGGTTCCTAAACCTTAACTGAAATAAAAAAATTCAGTGATTCTGATTTGACTCTGAAGCATTTAAACAGATTCCTCGAGGACAAGAGGTGTAGGAAGCAAGAGTGAAAATAGAAAAGCTAGAGACAACCTGACTGAAGTTTGGAGGCATTCAGCAGGCAAGATACCAGACAGAGTACGATCAGGTGGGAGAGGCAGGATAGTTTGAGTGAAGAAACCAAAGTATACGAAGGACATTTTAGTCCAAGTAGCACCGACAGCATTTGAACGGAAATGCTCAAACGGGGTTCCTAAACCTTGACTGAAATAAAACTGGTGATTCTTATTTGGCTGTGAAGCATCAGAACAGGTAGGGCTGCTTACCCTGACCGATATGTTTGCATCATTCAAACCTAGGAGCAACTGGGCAACGACCAGCTTGGTGGAGGCCACAGCTAGATCGGGCACTAGTAGTCCGGAGGAGATGCTGGGCCCGTTTTAGGGTGTACGCCGATGCATGGTCGATCTACAAGTGGGCACGCAACAGAGCACAATCCCTTAAAAGGGAGGCGAAGTATGAACATGAGAAAAAGTTAGCGCAAAACGTAAGACAACCCGACAAGGTTTTATGCATATGTGCAGGTAAACAAAAACACTAAGGAGGGAGTA